CGGTCCCATAGCTATGCAGAAGACGTTACTTCAGGAACTCATTGAAACATTTTTGCAATACAATGATGTAGCTAATCAAAGGAAAAAAAACATTTCCATCAGTTCTAACAACATGCACGATGAGCTAGGCAACAAAGCATAGTGCAGGGCCCTGAGCTTCCAAGCTCTCTCGTTTGGTGTTTGTTTGTTTGTTTGTTTGTTTTTGTGTGTCACGCCTGGCGCTATCCCGTATCTGTCCCGTACCGTACCAGCAAAGACAGCTGGCCACAATCTTTTTGTTTGTTTATACCATCGGCATGCCTGGCGCTATCCCGTACCTGTCCCGTACCATCAAGAGTACGGTACCATCAAGAGAATGAGTATATAGGCAAAGTGTATCGGGGGAATGCATTCAGTGCAGTAACATTAATTTTTGTGTGGATTTGTGTGCGAGGCCGAGATCCCACTAGCAGGCTGGCTGGGCCGCCTGTCGACCAGCCCGGGAATCGCATGTAGGCCGATAGCATAATAATTATAACGTGTATACAGTCAACTCATCACAACCACGCGCTCTTCAGCCGAACCATACAGACACCAGCAAGGACACTTCCGTTGAGAGATAATATTGCTCCACGCCTCTAGACAGCTGTTTCGCTCCCTGTCGGAGCTCATCAGTAGAGGATGATAATGATGATAATGGAGGAATGATCATTCTTATACACCAGAAATGGCGCAAGTGCGCGCTTTCCACATATATCAATGGCATATGCAAGCTGCTAAAATGGTAAAGTGTGAGAACAGCGATAAATAATCATAGTACGCGCTCATTGGTGGAGAAACACACCACACAAGCGACGAAAATCTTACTCGGAATACTGATGCCAATGGAAAGTACATGTATGTTGTTTATTATTAAGATGTTGCAATGTCCTGACTGGAGTGAATGCCCCAGCTGGCCTCTCGTTTGTCAGTGGTTGCTACTAGACCTGTTAGTATCACACTCACGACTACAAGTTTCCTGGTGTGCATCGACATCGGCATCAGTGGGGCCTCCCGCTGTCGATCCTGTTGACGGGCGGACAGGTCGGTGTGAATCCTGAACGGCAACCGAGCCTGTCGCGTTGGGGGATCTCGGCGGTGAGTCTCGCCTCGCCTGCGTACATGGACATTGCAACATCTTAATAATAAACAACATACATGTACTTTCCATTGGCATCAGTATTCCGAGTAAGATTTTCGTCGCTTGTGTGGTGTGTTTCTCCACCAATGAGCGCGTACTATGATTATTTATCGCTGTTCTCACACTTTACCATTTTAGCAGCTTGCATATGCCATTGATATATGTGGAAAGCGCGCACTTGCGCCATTTCTGGTGTATAAGAATGATCATTCCTCCATTATCATCATTATCATCCTCTACTGATGAGCTCCGACAGGGAGCGAAACAGCTGTCTAGAGGCGTGGAGCAATATTATCTCTCAACGGAAGTGTCCTTGCTGGTGTCTGTATGGTTCGGCTGAAGAGCGCGTGGTTGTGATGAGTTGGGAATGCAATGAATTGAAAATATGGCCGAAAGCTCTGTCGCAATGTTTAGTGTATACAGTCATGTAGATGTATAGCAGGGAGTCATATTATGTAAACGACTCCCTGCTGTATGGGGAGATTTTCTGGAAAGAAATACGAAGTAGGGAGACGAGTAAATGCAATTAGAATGGATGTTAGTTGCCGTCAGTATAATAATAAGAAGAAGAAGAACGCCCGTGATCGGCAGAGTCAGCGCCGGTCCCAGGAAACGTCAGGACAGACATCCCGTCGACTCCAGAACGCCCGTGATCGGCAGAGTCAGCGCCGGTCCCATAGCTATGCAGAAGACGTTACTTCAGGAACTCATTGAAACATTTTTGCAATACAATGATGTAGCTAATCAAAGGAAAAAAAACATTTCCATCAGTTCTAACAACATGCACGATGAGCTAGGCAACAAAGCATAGTGCAGGGCCCTGAGCTTCCAAGCTCTCTCGTTTGGTGTTTGTTTGTTTGTTTGTTTGTTTTTGTGTGTCACGCCTGGCGCTATCCCGTATCTGTCCCGTACCGTACCAGCAAAGACAGCTGGCCACAATCTTTTTGTTTGTTTATACCATCGGCATGCCTGGCGCTATCCCGTACCTGTCCCGTACCATCAAGAGTACGGTACCATCAAGAGAATGAGTATATATGCGAAGTGTATCAGAGGAATGCATTCAGGCCGATAGTGCAGTAACATGTTGTGTGGATTTGTGTGCGAGGCCGAGATTCCACTAGCAGGCTGGCTGGGCCGCCTGTCGACCAGCCCGGGAATCGCATGTAGGCCGATAGCATAATAATTATAACGTGTATGCAGTCATGTAGATGTAAAGCAGGGAGTCATATTATGTAAACGACTCCCTGCTATATGGGGAGATTTTCTGGAAAGAAATACGAAGTAGGGAGACGAGGAAATGCAATTAGAATGGACGTTAGTTGCCGAATAGGTAATATGATGCGTCAGCAAAAACATACTTTCGAAGAGAGATCCCGTCGTCTCCAAAATAATCTTGATCGGGCGAGTCAGCGCCGGTCACAGGAAACGTCGAAAGAGAGATCCCGTCGACTCCAGAACATTCGTGATCGGCAGAGTCAGCGCCGGTCACAGGAAACGGCAGGACAGACATCCCGGTGACTCCAGAACGCCCGTGATCGGCAGAGTCAGCGCCGGTCACAGGAAACGGCAGGACAGACATCCCGTCGACTCCAGAGCGCCCGTGATCGGCAGAAACGAGACAGGTACGGGATAGCGCCAGGCATGCCGATGGCACAAACAAACAAAAATATTGTGGCCAGCTGTTTGTGCCCAGCTTTCTTTGATGGTACGGTACGGTACGGGACAAATACGGGATAGCGCCAGGCGTGACACAAAAAAAATAAAAAATAAAATAAACACCAAATATTAATCCCGTAGCTATGCAACAGACGTTACTTCAGTACCGTTTGGCGCTAGCCAGGGTCCACACAGCTTTGACACGTTACATGCACGATGAGCAAGCAAAAAAGCATAGCGTAGGGCCCGGACCTTCCAAGCTCTCTCGTTATAATTATGTCTTTATTATGAGCTACGGCTGCGGAGCTTGCCCAGTGGACCAGGTGGACAGACATCAAGAGCACAATACCATGTGCACGGGAGCAAATACACATGAGATCCTATGACAGCATACGGTAACAGCAGTGTCTGTGAAATCGATTACAAGGTCATCGTGGACTTGTTCGGTGCAGCGGGGAAAGTGTGAAATTTCAGTGCATGGTCAGGTAAGGTCCATAGCAGCTTACCCAAGACAATAGAGTCCTCGTTGACATCGCACCAGTCACAGATTAATGTGTACAGACGTTCAGTGACAAGGGTGTTTACTGAGCAGACACACAAATAGACACAGACACACACATGCGCATGGACACACACAGACACACACACACAAACACACAGACAGACAAACAGACAGACACACCATGCTCACACAGACACACATAGATACACACACAGACACACACGGACACAGACACACAGACAGACACACACACACACCGAGGTACAAACAGACAGTATAAGAAGAGAATTGTGTACTCCCATTGCAACTTGCCGTGGAAACTAATTATGTGGCAAGAATCAGAATCTTTCCAGCAGAATAATCCAATGAAAGCGATCTGGTCAGAGGGAGGGCAAAACTCTGCAATCCTGTATAATGCAGGTTGATATGGTCCTGCAGTGAGGGGTGAAAAGGGAAATCTGACCTCAGATAAAACAGTTGCTGTATGGCTCTGGGTGGCTCTGCATGGCTCTGGCACTATGAATATGAGCACGTCGCTATGCGGTGAACCGGCGTGGCTATGCAATGAACGTGGCTCTACGTTATCATACACGTACATGCACACGGCAGCAATTGTAGATGGGCAACACTACAACAATGCAAGTCTGGAGGTAGCCATTGCAGGCTTCGTCTTCAAGCTCTGCGAGTTCTCTACTGCAAGCATGCACGCATGCGCACACTATACATATGTATATGATTACATCACTACATCTCCCCCTTCAAATAAAAAAGAAGAAGAAGAAGAAGAAGAAGAAATCAAAATAAAGGAACAAAGTGAAGAAGGAAAAGCCAATTAATTAAAGAGAAAAAACAAAAAGAAGAAAAGGAAAAAACCGATGCGAATGCGCATGCCATGCGCCAGTCATTAAAAACTGCAAATCACTGAGAAAAACAAAAACAAAACACAACCACGCTACATACTACCGACAAGCGGCTGTGAACGAGGAAGAAAACAAAACAAAAAAAGTTCAGCACAAAAAAAAACCGTAAAATGGTCTCTACGTGTCCATGGACACACTGTCCCGCAGCAGCAGCAGCAGTCATCCATAAGCCGCTCTGGCCTTCTCTGTAAGGGTTACCTGACGGCCAGAACGGGTTTTCATGCCATCATGAAATCGCTTGGGAGACTCACTGGCTGGTGAGCTGGTCTGATCCCTGCAGACATCGCTAGGAGAAACTGGACGAGGCGAAGAACACGGGGGTGAGGCGTCCGCAAGTGCAGAACGGGTGAGAGGGGCCTCAGCTTCCGTTGACGCTGGCACCAATGGCTCACTACCTGTCGCCGATTGTGGTGCGGCCGGGCTAGTCGGAACCGGAACACTAACAGGAGGCGTGGACAGCGGTGACTTGGGTACGGAGGCAACAAACTCAGGCCAATCAGACGATGCAGCAGCAGGTGAGACCAATTCTCTGACATGTTGGCGGTTGCGAAGCAGAATCCGGACACCGTCGGTTACTCCCACTTGCCTCCCGTACTGCTCCACCACGGTCCACGGCTTGGCTGGATCATTGTATCCGTCATGGAGGATCACCCGCTTGCCCGCCTGCAGATGTGGCAAGGCCTTCACTCCACGACGAGCGTCATGATCACGTGCCATTGTGGCCTTGGCTCTCAGCTGGATGCTGGGGTTGACAATGCGAGGAGGGATCATGGTAGGAACTCTGCTACGCAATGGGCGAGAGAACAGAGCCTCGTTTGGAGAGGTTCCCAACATGCGGTGTCGGGAATGTCGGACGTCGAACAGAACCTGGTTCAGTCGTCGACGGAAAGGTAAATGAGGCTTCAGTGCCACCATTCTTTCCTTGACGAGACGATGGAGTCGTTCCACCATGCCATTGGAACGTGGATAACGTGGGCTGGAGCGGATGTGACGAATGCCCAGCCGCTGCAAGAAGGTGGTCATCTGCTCCGACACAAACTGTGGCCCGTTATCCGAAACCAGTACAGACGGTAGACCGAATAGGGCAAACACTTCATCTAGCTCGTCCACGATAGCTGTAGTGGTTGTAGAGGACAGAACCTTGAGGATAGGGTACCGGGAGCCATAATCAATGAGGGAGAGAACAGAGTGGCCCTCAATAGATACCAGGTCGATTGCCAGTTTCTCCCACACGCCTTCAATCTCAGTGGGGAGAAGATCTTGCGGACTGTTTGTGCGACGTCGCCAACACTCGGAGCAACGTTCCACATACAGACTAGCGTCCTTGGTGAGCCCTGGCCACCAAACCCTCTGCCGGAGGGAATCTTGAAAGGCTTCCTGGCCCGGGTGTCCCTCATGCGCTAATGCCATGACGGAATGGCGTAGCCCTTCTGGTATCACAACACGTGCCGACAATAGCAACACACCGTCAGCTGCAGTGAGTTGATCTCTGACGAGATAGTACGGCTGCTCAGCGGGCGAGGCATCGCGCCAGGATGAGGTGAGCACACGCTGCAGGACACTGTGGAGCGTTGCGTCGTCTTGAGTGGCACGGCGGATCTCCTCAAGGTTGACTGGTGCTGCCTCAAGAACCATGTTGACGTACTCATTCAATGACCGGGACTCAGCTGGAGACGAGACAGTGGTCTTCAGCGGAGCACGAGACAAGGCGTCAACGCACAACAGTTGCTTTCCTGGGATGTGCTTGAGGGAGTACGAATACGGCATCAGAGAGACTAGCCAACGCTGGAGACGTGGTGGGACGTCATCGAACGGCTTCTGAACTATATGGAGCAGTGGTCTGTGATCCGTGAAGACGTCCACATCCCGGCCCAGAACGTACTGGCGGAAACGAGTTAGAGCGAATACCACACCCAACATTTCACGCTCCATCTGCGAATAGCGTGTCTCCACATCAGTCAATGATCGGCTGGCACAAGTGACTGGCACCCACTGGCCCTTGTCGTGCTGCCAGAGGATAGCGCCCAAACCTTGAGGCGAAGCATCGCAGCTGACAGCCGTACGAACATCTGGAGATGGGCGGAAGTACGCCAATGTCTGCAGAGATGAAGCGACTGCCTGCTTTACTGCGTTGAATGCCGCAATCAGGCTCTCAGTAGCTACAAATGGCTCTGGCTGCTTGACGATCGAACGAAGTGGCTCAGTTACTTGAGACAGCTGAGGAACAAACTTGCCCAGATAGGTGACCATCCCGAGAAAACGCTGAACGTCGGCGAGGCACGTGGGCTCCGACAGTTCACTGATAGCTTGAAGCTTGCATGTGTCGGGTTGAACACCTTGCTTCGTCAGGACATGGCCGAGATACTTGACACATGTCAGTCGAGTGCGACACTTGCCCCAGTTGAGGCAGAGATTAGCAGCTTTGAGTCGTTCCAAAACGCTAGCGAGCCGTGCATCGTGTTCCGCCCGGTTGCGACCATACACCAAGACGTCATCTATATAGACAACAACACCAGGCAAACCCGAAAGGAGATCAGTTACAACACGCTGAAATATCTCGGGAGCACAGGATATGCCAAATGGCAGTCGTTTGAAACGATAGAGACCACAGTGTGTGGTAAACGTGGTAAGCGGTCGGGATTGGTCGTCAAGCAAGAGCTGGTGAAAACCAGACTCTGCGTCCAAAACCGAGAAAACCTCCGCTCCCGCAAGCTCCGCAGTAATCTCATCAATGGTTGGCAATGAACGTCGCTCTCTAACAATAGACTTGTTCAACTGCCGATAGTCAACACATAAACGCAAGGTGCCGTTTGACTTACGGACTGGGACGATCGGCGATACCCATCCAGACGCTTCCTTAACTGGCTCGATGATATCTGCCTTGACAAGACGATGCAGTTCATGTTCAATGTCGGCCTTGGCGCTGAATGGGGGACGTCGTGCTGGTTGAGCCACCGGCCTAGCTTCAGCATCCACGGAGATGGAAATTGGTGCGGTGTCAACCAAATTGCCAGTGTCCACCAGGTGCGCTGGAACCAACAGCTCAAGTTCAGAGATCACATCCTGGCCGAACAGAATACGATGTTTCCCATGGGGTACAACAAAACAACTACAAGACATGGTACGCGTAGGAGATGCAATGGTTACATCAGCCATGCCTAAAGTTGCAATCTCCCCGCCTGTGTACGCCTTGAGGACACGATTACTGCTGCGGGTAGGCTGGACAATGTCATCGGTGAGAATAGTACGGCTTGCACCGGTAT